TCTCAGATTGTGGTCTTGTGGAAAGACGGATTGAAGTTTAGTAAATTTCGGCAGTTGATTCATAAGACATGTCACCAGCGAGCCGAGTGTTTCTAAGTTCGTGGTCAGAGAAACGAAACTTGCTGAGTTCTTGCACTTGAATCGTTGACATGTCGCGTCAATGAACTGTCATGTTAAGAACACTGAGCTGTCTGACGATGTCATGCTTCACGTCCGATGCTGTTTGAAACTGCGTCGTTTGCTATCTTCGTGACCAATTTCACGTGAATCCTCGACCATAATTCGCTATCGGGATTCGAATCCCTCTTCCGACAGCCAAGAAAATTTTTTGTTGGGCCGGTGACTAACCTATGTATAAAGCTCCGTCTAATATGGGCCACGGTTGAGCAGGACGACGATCAGGACGACGATCAGAACGACGACGTGTAAGACTGCCCGAGCGATGAAAGTAGTAGATAATTAAGGAAGAATTGCAGTGGTTCAGCTTGAAGATTCCTTGGGATCGGAAGAGATATGCAATACAAAGCAGCAGGTCCTCTGAGGCTAACGCACTCGCAGACGGTGCAAAGAATTGGAGGCTAAGAGAAGCCCCTCAAGTCTAAGCTGATGTGATCGAGATATGTGACAGCAAGGACGAATTCAGAGGAACTTCTCGATGCAGGTAATCAGATCTGCCCGCCCGCCATTGATTGATTCAGAACTGAATAGACCTCCCTCGAGAACTAACAAGAGTTGTGGATCCGGGTGATCCGTGATTTGGTGTATGTGAATGATGGTTCGGTTCTCCAGCGGGGCTTGAAACTGAACTGTTTTGGAGAATCTCGGACGCCATTTGCATGAATGGTTGGATTGTATAGAGAGAACATGAGCTGTAGATCACTAAGACTTGGCGTTTGTGCGAGTTGTATACTGTGGAAGAAAGCTCCTTTTCAATTTTGGCCGGCTATGAAAACTTTTCGAGAAATCGTCATACCTGCGGTATCGGGCTGAGGACGATTCCATGGAGTAAGCTTGCTGTTATCGGCGGGAGACGGCTGCTGCATAAAATAATTGTGCCGGAGAAGGCTGGGATGAGGAAGCTAGCTCTCAAATGCTCTGTGGGCACACACAGCACCCCCCTCTAACGACAGCCTGAGCTCACGCACGTTCTTCAGACCAAAAGACTCGCTCCTTCCGTGACCCCGGCACTTGCTAAGTGACAAAACATTTGACTCTCTGAGACCCGATAGTCTTCGGGCCACGATTCTACATCAGTGGACGTAAAGAGGCACCTGTCCTTCTGTAACTGGGGCTTACATCTTCATCCACGACTCATGGGCATCCTTGTTCAGAGAACATAATTCGAATTTCTTGAGAAGAAAAGAGCACTTTCTCTTTCTTGAGCGAGAATCGAACTCGACAATTCTGGACAATCGGTTTTGACATTCCGATCGATCTGTGAATTAAGACATTCCATCGGCTGAATGTATCATCTCTCGTCATTAAAAATCCGTTTTGTCCTCTCTATGTTGGGTATCGTAGTCCAAGTTCCATCGAAAAGTTTCTATCGAACGACACAATCTTTCTCTGCCCATGACAGAAATTATTTCAAACATTTAGACATGCATAAACTTAACTTGTACAGAGAAGAATGAATGAATATGGTCGTTTATTCTCGAAGAATTAGTCAGTATAACTGACCTTTTTTTGTACCCTTAGGTCCTCATGACCTCGTGCCCTTGGGCTAGGTTGCTTCGCAGGAGAGAACATTAGTAGTACCCCGAGTACTAAAGTCCCAAACGCCATAAAATCTGTGGACTCAAGTGCCAGATGTCAGGTCCAGTCCAGGTCTAACCACAACCAAATAAGGGAGTCCAAGTACAGCCATAGTACACCTTCTAAAAGATCTAAGCTTCTGTCTCAAGACTCAAACGGCCAGATTCGACAGAATGTGAAATTTTACATTCTCCCAAATCTGGAAGTCGCTATAATCGTAGCATCAGATGCACAAGCTGAGTGCCTTACCGGGTTATACCGTACGAGGATCCGGACCGATGATGAAGACACTGAGGGCCGAGCAAGAGCTTATCCTCGAGAGGACCAATGTGAACTGTGGATCAACTTCGAGGAGATGATGAGGTTACTTTTGAGAGGAGGATTCTAGGCCAAAGTCGATGAGAATGGACGTCTGATGCTGCTGGTGATGTCGAAATGTTCACTGCTGCAGTTAGTTGGATGGGAAGGGGAAGCACTTGTAGAATGGAATCAAAAGTAATCGCCATACGCCAGACGCAGCAAAAGGAAAAGCGTGCGCATGCAAGCGTACAAGTTTCCTTGTTCTTTGTCTGAGATCTGGGTCCTGCAAGGCCCACCAGCAGGTGTACTTACTGGAGAAACTTTCCCTGAGAAAAGTTTTCAGCTAAAGGTGATCAAGGGACCGCGGGCCTAACAAGCAGTTATCAAGCTTTAGCTGAGTCACAAACAAACGAAAAGGTTCTGCCCATGCGTGTAATACACTTGCTGGCATGGGCATCGAGGTCAAGGAAGAAAGTGGAGGTCCACCCCGAGACGAGAATCTATTTTCCATTATGGAGGCAGCATCGATTCCTGCATACTCCTCCATTCTCTCCGGGCCAGAGCATACACTGATTTCTTGGAATCGTCGATGTAAAGAACGACGAACAAGCAGACAGGGCCCTTGCTTTTTCGCCAATGTCGATATTTCTCTCAGTATTGGAGAATGCGTGAGCATTGTCCATCTCTTTCTCGTACATCCCATGAACTTGGCAGAAGGAGCTCTTTACAGGAGCTTTACAACAACCAAATGCTTATGCATGAGGTGAAAAATCTAAGGAATGACCTCCTGAGCTTCGAATGCAAGCCATTCATTCTCTGTATTTATGAGAACGGCCCTAGATACGGTTGACTTGGTAAGGCAAGGGCAAGTACTATTCTGTAATCCAATCTCTGCTGCATATTGACGATAGTCCTTGTCAGGCTCGTGTGCAGTAATAAAATTGTCCAGAAATTCCCCACTTGGATCCTCAGATCCTGTGTCAGAGTCACTTCTTGTTTGCAATCCGTCGAGACCAATGCTTCTGTATGGAGCTAGAGGACCACAAAAGGTGGAAAGTCCAGATGTTTCTTAGCTTTTGCCGTATTCAAAGGCATTAAAGCTGCCAGTTCGTTAAATCCTTCCCTTTCCAGAGCTTCGAGTAGTCGTCGATGGGTGCCTCGAAGCCAGAGTAGGGAAGTTTTCTCTTCCACTGGCGGTTTGCATGGATCCACTAAGGTCCTTTGCACAGTGGTCTTGCCATGGCTCTGTTGCAGGGAGCCGCCAGGATCTCAGGGAGAGAGAAGATGAGACAAGTGACGTCTCACCGTCAAAATTGCAAGCATCGCGGCCACCAACCAGCTGGGTACTTGCACTGGAAACTAGATTGGCCAGTTCAAACCCACCAACCGATGAGTTGATTGTGCGCCTGCAGATTAAAACCCTGCACTCACCGCTTTCCCTGTGCGGGTGATTCCATTCGGACAAGAACTGCATACGATTGAGTGCGCACATCCTGGTGGCCGTAATTATGATAGATCCGCATGCTGAGAAACAGAAGAAACAATGAGAGAGTCACTGCCTCATTTTTATCTGTTTTATATATCGAGGCAGTAAATCGCTCAGAAGAACTGGTACTGTGAGAAATATGAGGCTCGTATTGAGTGAAGGTTACATCAATCTACAGTTGACGACTTTCGGTCACATTGTACAGTACAGTAGCTTTCTGGATTATAGGAGTTGGTTAAATAAATTTGGTTGGAAGAGCTTACAAGAATCGGGTTTAAGAAACAATGCGACGACTTTCTGGCGATCTGATGTCACTTAATGAGAATCTTCATTCCAAATCTCAGAAAACTGAGTGCTCTGTGAATCCAGGCATTTTTTAGCGTTCTACACACTTCCCAGGCGTGTTTATGAGCTGATCCTCAGATCCCAAGAGTATTGGAGATGTTGATTTGAATGGTTCTCATGAAAGTTTTTTATGCATTGAGTACGTCAATCTGAAGAATAATTGCAGCTGGGAATGTTGCCGGCAGAAATCTTCTTTACATCTTTCAAGAATAAAATCATTAATGGGTCAAGACGATAGTTGAGCTGCAACTTCTAAAGTAAGAATCAATACATTTGTAATACTGTAGCCTTCTCTCGTGCCCCCAGGTAGTAAATCTGAAAGCCCCCATCCATGGCAGAGTATGAACTTAAGATTCCCAAATTGTCCAGACTATCGAATCTTAGAAGAGTCAAACCCCCCCTCCACCCCACCTTTCCCAAAGCCTCTTCACGAACCTCGAGTTCGGTATATTTACATACAGGTTGCTCACGCAGTACTCAACAGACTTGGATCTGCTCGTTCATAAGGCCAGAAGTTTCAAAAACCCATCAATCTTCTCGTTTCCGTCTCGTAATTCGGCTCTCTCATGATATGAGCATGTTATATTTCACAGGAAACTCTGCACCTCTTGAGCCCTGCACTGTTTCTGGACCTCAAAACAGTAGGACGATGTTGAGCGCGAGGAATCTTTTGTCGCGATATGCGCCACATCCGTAAGGCTCTTATTTCGAGCTGCCCCGTGGACCTAGTCTGCCACTAGTGCGCCAGTAAACCATGGAACCATACAATAGTTACATCTCGAAAAGTCCTTTAGTTCCATGATTGTAATAATAATCTCCTTTTGAGGCACTGTGTGAGGGAGAGATGGGCATCCCATATGCACATGCTAAAGCAGAGGGAAATAAGATTACTATGCTCTGAAAAAGGGAGGAATGAAAATGGAATAGAATTTTGGTAAGCGGAATCTGGCTGAAACACAGCTACATCTAGGAATCAGATAGGTAATCATGGTAATCGAGGCGGAAGTACACACAGTCCTCGACCAGAATTTGCAAGTAGTGGAGGCAGTTTTGCAATGCGTCGTTTGACCAGGACACATCTCCGTGACACGCATTCCTTCCTAGTCACCGAGTGAAAGTCTGAGTCATTTTCATATGCAGGAGCATTGTCAGCTAGTTTATATCTTCTCTCATCCTGTACTTAGCTGGTTATCGACCAGCGCCTGAATACGGTTTCGTGATAAATCACAGGGCAAGCATGGCAGCCTGCATGTAAAGACAGATTAATCTACCAGGCCAGTCCCTCACGTGCTTCAAGGAGAGATTCCTCTTTTGAAGTACGCTGAATTTACCTGCTCGAGAGTCTGCACAGGCAAACTCACAGCCCTTATGCTGCAGTTAAATGAATCGAGGAGGTGAATTGTCGAAGTCCATGTCCGACGGTCTTTCAACAACTGGACTCGCATTTTATGGGTCACGAGTGTTGAGGGCAATGAGCGACCTATTAAACCCCCTCAGACGGGCAGTTGTGATCACCATACCCTGGATGCATCTCTAGAGAGGGTCCAAGAAGTAGCTATCGGTATCGCTGAAGCTGCATATGAACCGACAGTACTGACAAGTGTTGAGTTCTCCTCCTGGCTGTACTTTGTCTGCGGGTAGTAATTTGAGCTGATTTGTGCACCGCAACCATGGTGATCTCTGGAGGGAGAACTTCGATCAGTTTTGCCGCTGTAATATCATGCCTCCTCGTGGCCCAAGCCAGTGGTCTGTATGTCGGCTTTTACGCTGCTTCGTGTCCCAACGCAGAATCCATAATACTTGAAACACTCAAGCCGTTTCTGGCCTCGGACCCGACTCTCGGAGGGCCCCTGTTGAGAATTTCGTACCATGACTGCTTCGTTCGTGTAGGTTCCGAATTCCCAACGCTCCAGGCTCAATGGCTTCTTGTCAAAGTGGAAGAAGAAGACATATGTTGATGTTGTTCAAGTCTTCGAGTCGTGGACTCTAGCTTCAGCTGCATTCATTCAACCGTGGGTCAATTATTGCAATATACTTGCAGATGTGCGTACTGACGACTCGTTGTGTGCCTGATGAATCGTTCAAGGGATGTGATGCATCGCTCTTACTGGATTCAGTGAACGGCAATGTGGCGGAGAAGGATGCACCGGGTCCGAACCTGAACTCCGTCAGGGGATACGAGGTCTACGATGGGATCAAGGCTGCCCTTGAGAGCTCGTGTCCGGGAGTGGTCTCATGCGCCGATATCGTCCAAATTGTTTCTCGTGATGTCACCGTTCTGGTACATTCTGACTCTGAACGCGTCGTGCTCTCTAGTTCCAGCAACCAATATCGATATCGAGGCCATTATTATACATAATCTCGATCGTCCATGAAGGAATTCCCTTGAATTCTTACAGCTGTGACAGAGGTCCTCATTACACTACATCGTTACCGGAGTCTGAAGAATTTGAGTCTGATTTTAGTTGACTTCTTGCAGGACGGAGGTCCTTACTGGGACGTCCAAACTGGTCGTCGAGATGGACTGATCTCCATAGCAGCCGAAGCACAGGCTAATCTTGTGGGTCCTGACTCAGACTACGACACTCAGAAGAATGCTTTTGCAAATAAGGGGCTCAGCGAGAAGGATCTGGTCGTGCTTACAGGCAAGAGATTATCCTCATCACAGTAACATTCCTTCATGTGAAGCAGGCTTATAATAGCCGATACTTGAACTGTCAGACCAATAATTATCAGCCATCAATCTGAATCTCGTTCCGGGTTGAAACAAAGAATTTCAAATTGTTGATTATCTAAAAATTTCTGAGACTGAAGTTTTTTCCAGTTGATTTCCTTTTTGAGGCTGTGCATTAGATTAGTCCGAGCATCGTTCCTGCTCAGATGAAGCTAGAACTTACTCATACTCTCTCTGGAGACAGGAGCACACACAATTGGGCGATCGCGTTGTGTATCAATCGAACAACGACTGTACAATTTCAGCGGCGTTCAAGGTCAGACGGATCCGTCTCTGGACGTAAGCTTCGCCAGAGAGTTGAAAGCGACGTGTCCCAGTGGCAGCTCCAACAGTCTCGAAATGGACGGAACGCAGTTCAAGTTCGACACCAGGTACTTCAAGAGACTCCAGGTCCACAAGGGACTGTTCGGCTCCGATGCGTCTCTCATAACTCAACCCTTCCCGGCATCTGTGGTCGAAGAAGAAACCCACAAGGACAGCTTCTACGCGGATTTTCCAGAGTCCATGCTCAGGCTGGCCGCCCTCGACGTCCTCACCGGAAGCGATGGTGAAATCCGAAAAAACTGCGCGTTCGTGAACTCTTAGAGCTACGACGAAGCCCATGCTTCCGACGCGGGACTCTTCTGTACAGCTAAAACCGGATTCTTTGTGTTCTGCTATAATCCTGAATCGACTTAGTTTCAAAGTATCCTCTAGATGTACCCAAATTCCTACATCTGGATTTAGCTCTAGATTTTGCAGAGAGCTGTTTGTACTCTCTGTCTCCGAATAGATTCCATGTTTCGACACACACAAGCCCCGATCTCCACACAGAGCACAACTCCATGCGCCGACTCGCTCTAAATCCAGAGAAATTGCGTGCTCTTGTTGAAACTGTTGAATAATTCAGAGCGACATTGTAAGTTATATCGATGCCGCAGACGTTCAAATGATTCAGTTCGCTTCGGCCCTCTAGAACTTGTTTTGGCTCGAATTTGAGTTGCTACAGAGGCCTGCAGAATTGGGTCCCTTATGTGAATAAAATTACTCAGTAATCGAGGCACAGTGAAGCTGTCTTCTGTATCTCCCTGCTCGCTTCTCGCTGGCATGTGAAGCGTTCCCCATCATTGTCAACCCAGCTTTCAGAGACAGTTCTGTGTCCTGGATTCTGTCTTTTGCACATAACTCCTAGCCTGAGATTGATGATCGCAGCCTAGCCTTAAATACCACCAAATCATCGTTACCAGTCGGCCACATGACCTGATCATTCAGACGCACACGAGGCAAGAACGCTCTAATCCATACCTTCATGTCTATTTCGTTATTTCTACGAACATTGATATCACCAGCTGCAGTCCTGTCAATGTTGCTGATTTCTCAAGTATCAAATGAGCATTAGCTGATTAGTAGGAACCTGATCGAGCTGATCATCGTCTGTACACTTGTCAGACATCAATTCATTGCAAACGGTGATCTGCTGTCGAACTCCACGTTTTATTTGATCCATTGAATGAAGAATGCCCTTCTTAATTCATTTACTATTGAAGTCGAAAACGTTTTGAGTCAATGAAACGGTGCCCTGAGTGAAATTAGTATGCAATTCTCCGTTCATTCTCAGTCCATTTCAAAATGCCGGTTTTCAGTATCCGCTTAGCGCATTCAGCAAACTAATAATTGGCGTATTCAGAATCTATTACAAAGCTGCAGATATGGTTTTATTTTGTGAATACTCTGTTCTGTATCAACGGAAAAAGTGAACGAGAATCCCTTTACTAAAAAGTAAATAGAATCTTCTCGCCATATTAGAAATCACTGGTATACAGATTGAGGTGTGATCGATGCTCTTTTCACCTCATACATAATCATGCAGCTTCGAGCGCAGAAGATACAGTACAGTATTGCAGTAGACACTATCTCGAAGGAACTGAGAATAATCTTTTGACGACAAGGCAAGCTCGTGGAGTAGCAAATAAGCCCCAGCATCTTTTCCATCCAGAGAACAGATTGAACTCGAATCAGGAGAAGAGCAGAAGATTCTTACCCACCTAACTGAGAGAGTCACATGGGGGCGTAGTAGAAGCCCGTAAATACTTTCGGCATATCTTCTTTATTTTGAGTTCCCTTGCATGTCAAGCTTGGAGCTTCGCGCTTTGTGCGGATCCCCTGAACTCATTGCTCTGGAAAGCCTTGCCTGAAGCCAGGCCTACGTAGATCTTGTCAGACCTTTTGTTGCCATCCCTGACAACATTTAGGACATGGGTTTTGTTCTGAAGGGGCCAAAAGATCAGATACCCACGATCGACGACGGTTGCTTGAGGTGAGCCTTGAATGGATTGATGATTGGGCCATGGATCTTCCTCGGCCTCCAGGAGCTGCTCAAGGCAATTTTTGTGCTTGTGGGAAGAGCATGCTCTGAAACGCATGCTCCAAACTTCCACATGGACAAATCTGCTCCATGTGTTGCACGATCACAGTAGCCAACGAGTTAGATCCTGTTTTAGCCAGAGCTAGTCTTGTACTTCTAGGTTAGTTTGCTATGCTCAGCTCAACGAAGCTGATACCTTTTCTAGGATTTTAGAAAAGGTAATGGAGTGCTTTTTAAGTATAGCTTTGGTTGGAGGTGCATTCACATGACTCGCAGGGATTCATGGCTTCTCTTGTGCTCAGATCCCTCTGGAACACGCCATAAAATGGCCATTTATAATTCAGTCATGATAATCTTTTATTTATTCTTAATCAATACGAATTGATCATGACTAGATATTTTATTTATATATATATGAAATTATATTGTGATGAAAATTTGAAATTTCATAAAGGATGTGTAACAGTACATGCAGCCAATTGCGGGAGAAGTGCAGTGCGGATCGCAATAGCCTACCAAAAAGCAAAGAGTTATGTTTCTTAACGCTCTGGACTCATTAATCCAAAGAGTACGACTTGGAGGCGTCTGCGTCCCATTCACAAATGCAGCACCAGAACTTGAGAGTTAAAACTTTTCATGAGATCGGTGTTTCTCCCTTACAATCTGAAGCTGAGGCAAAACATTCAAACAAATCCTCCATGCTGATTAGTCAAACCATAGCTCATGGACGAATATTTGGTTATTTGCACTGGTATTTGTACCAATAGAGTTCGTCTATTGACAAATCTCACCAGGTTCATGACCATTCGCTCTATCCTGACTATTGCGAGTGGAACGACTGAGAACTTGAAAGCCAATTCTTAAGTGTCTTATAAACAATGGTTGCTAGGACCATCCCATCATCAACATCGAAAATCAATTCTGCACGAGGTGGAGTTCCTAGCAGTTGGCACTCTCACATTTTTCATTTCGACAAACTCTTGCTAAAAACATTTTACTTCTTGCTTTTCTAAGTCTCGTCCATCCCATATTCCTTATTCCCTCAGTCTAACGTCTTAGACTAAACAAAGACTTCGCCTATTTACATGCGTATTTGTAAAAATGCATACCAACCCAGACTAATAGTAATACATAACCCAGAATAAAAATTAAAACCCAAGATTAAAAACTGAAATATTTTATTCCCGTAAACTGTTAACTATTTCATTACAACTAAAATGTTAAAATTGAAAAATGAATGAAAAACTTTGAAAACTTCAAACGAACTAAAAGGAATGGTAAGATTCACTGATAATAAAAAACTGAAAATTGACGGAGAATATACAAGGAATCTGAAGGACAAGCAAGAGATGGTGAGATCCACTGATGATTTAAATAATGAGAGATAAATGAAAATCTATTAATATTTAGAGAATTGAACTTTACTGGCAATTAAAAATGTAGATGTACGTCTTTAGACAAGAACAATGATAAAAAACCTCGAAGCAAATGCAAATATATTGTATCTCATTTATCTTATATCCTGTATAAAATGTCATATGAAACCACCACATAAGCCTTCGTAGTAAATACAGATATGCTGTAAACATTTTAGATTTATTCGGCTCTAAATAGTAGTCTAAGATAAAGGTGTCAAGAGGACGGTACACCTTGTGTTGGGCTCCTTCTTCAAATGCATTCTTCTATTTCAACAGCGAGTAGTACTGTCAAGAAACCGTCATTTGCACCAGGTGACTGCATATGCCCGTCTGGCAGATTAAGTAGAAGCATCCAGGACTGCAGCTGGATGAAACATCCTCCATATACAAACAGCGTTTGAGAAACGATCCACGTTGAAGTGCCAGAAACTTACTTCTGGGGGAAATTTTGCGTTCTGTTTTGTTGGTAATTTGCAACCATATCAAGGGGAGTCTGATTGGGCAGGTCGTCCGATCGCAGGCTGAAAGAGACGTATGTCAGAAATACCTGTTCAGAACCCCTGGCCTGCTGTAATTGGCTGCACAGCTTATGGACAAAATTTAAGCACCTGAAAACTACCATGACCCACAGGTTAGGTCACAGAAATGCTTGAGCCCTACACAACTTACTGTCTTCCTATTCACCTTGTTCGCTAAACCATACTTCCTGGTGTTCGTTTTTGTTGCAAAACTGATCAATGCAGTCCTTATTCAAGTTGTTGGGAAGGAGGAGGTCAAGAATTTACGCTTTGAATCAACTACATATGAGCTCAAAGTATTTGGAAGTGACTATCATCGATACTACGTTGAAGAAACAAGTTAATCAACTCAGCTAAGCATCTGCTTATTAGCTGAACGATCATAGGGTTTGGCGCAACGTTGCCATGCGGTTATAGATAGATGGATTCAGGACACCCTGTCTAGAACTTTACTCTACTGCGTGAGAATGATATGTTCAGCTCTCGACATTGTGAGAGATACACGCAACTCTTTTGCCCTATCTTCAAGTTCAGAACGTCGTATGTTTTGGGCAGTCGGTGGACATGTTATCGGGATCGACCCAGAAAACTGTTGTACATTAAAGTTTGGAATCTGCGGCTGAGTCACATATTCTTCCACAAAGCTACACTTTCAGATGTTTACTTTGGCCTCCGAGGAAGAAAGCAGATCAAGATCATCCAGCTGACTTTAGAGACCAATTCGAAGAGACGGAAAAGCTTGAAATTATAAAATACTAAAATAAAGAGAGAAAGAGCACTGCGAAAAGTTTCCATGCTTGCCCACAGAAACTCCAGAAGGTGAGAGCCAGCAATCTGACGCGTTAAAACGGACCAAAATTAATGGGATAATTAGATGGAGCAGACCAACAGCTTCGGAAGCAAAGGAGCAATTCAAGCGAAGGAAGAAAGTCTGCAGAGTGAAATAGTGAGCGCGTGAATTCGCAAGCAATCCCTGTGTATGTGCGGCCGTCATCTATCTGATTCATCTAATTACTCAAATTGTACTTGGAAATTAGCTTTTCAGTAGAGTTCTGAGCTCCGTCCGGCATTTGAACTTGAACTTCTGTCTGATTTAGCGAAATTTGGAGATCGGCTACAGATCAGTAGGAGCTGGTCCAGGGGCAGCAGAACTACAATGACTGGAAGAGCCAAAGTCTGGACCTCGAGATGCTGCTGTCGAAGTCGATATAGACAACGACTGTGATGGCAAATCCTGCTCCCCTGGGGCTGATGGGTTTTGCGATGACGATGTTTGTGCTGTCTTTCCACAATGCAGGACTGATGATCCCACAGAGTGCTCCACACTGGATAGTCACAGGGCTCGACGCCATTTACGGTGGGCTACTGCAGCGGCTGGCTAGAATGTGTGAATTCAGGGCCACTAATGCTTTCGAGGCTACGGCCTTCTCTTCCTACATTTGCCTTCTGGCTATCCTTCACCTTGATTTTGATCCTTTCTTCGGTGTTCCCGGTGCTTTCGTCCAAAATAGGCCCAAAGCTAAGATAAGCTCTAAGCACAGAAAAATTCCGTACTCTCGCGTCGCAGCTGCTCTGGCAGCTATGACGCTCTTATTGAAAGTCAAGCGTAGGATTTGGGCTGAATGGCTACAAACTCGTATTGATAGCTGCTGAATGAAAGATAGGATCATAGAATTCGGCATGAGCTTGCCTAGAGGCCTACGGTCGAGATTAACTTTAGCACAGGGCTGCAGTCTCACGATCAAGTTTTCACTACTTAGCTTCTGTTTTGTATATAGCCTGAGTTTCCATCATTCTCTAAGAATGATGGAAACTCAATCTACGTCCTTGTAAACTGAAAAAGAAGGACATTATTCAGCACTGCAGTCAGTTGTGAATTGTATTCGAATCTTGTCTAGTCAAGTTGCGTCAACAACTGTCTATACACAGTTGACGGCTGGGGGGATGAATTTTGATGCGAAACTTTGATTCGAATCGTAAGATTTGTTCATCAAGATTGATAATATGTAACATAGCTTTTGGTCGTTCACAGATGCACGTAACTCTGCTGGCCCAGCAAAAAGATCTAACATGGATTTTTCAAACCAAGAGACTACTTCTGTGGACGTGACGTATTGTTACGTGGGCTGTTTGATATCCGATGTGATGATGAGTGGCATTGCGAGTGCAGTTGACGTTCAGATCGAGCTTCGCCATAATGGCTGCGTGTTGGCTGGGCAGATGCTTCTTGGCATCACAACTTTGTGCTATCGTGAAAGTTGGTCTTTTCACTTTGCGTGTCTGCTTTGAATTCTGCACCACGAGGTAAATCATTGAAGTACCGGGGTAAGCTTTTATGGCATGTAATAATGGCGGGGAATGTTGGGCACCGATGTCGAGCTTATATGAATAGAATGAGTTTTTCATATCATGATGTCTTCCTCTTTCATGATTGCCAGGGAGCCCTTTGATAACTGAATCTCCACTGTGCTTCATCTTCATTTTACCTTTACACGCTTGTCAAAGTTTCGTTATATGTGCCGTGTGCAGATTTTGATCCCCTACACATTTAATAACTCCGGTCTAATTATGTTTCTAAAGCTAACCTACATTAACTGGCGACGTTGTTCTGGACAGGATTTAGGACGTTTACCTTTTATCGGCAGCTTACTTTAGAGCAAAAACTTGTCACTCACTTCTAAGTCATTCGGCTCTGAGGTTAAGGTTATTCTCGTAATGCATTCCAGTTGAGTGCGCAAACACACTAATAAGGAGGGTGAGAAACTAATACCAGACTTCTTTGTAAGGATACTTTACCATCCACATCATGAAGATAGCATGGCGGGTATCTAATAAGAATTCCAAAATCTGTCAAAGGTAAGAGTGCATCTTTATATATATATATATATATATATATATACTTTAAATATCAAATTCTGCAGAGATATTGGAGATCAAAACTCCGATGAAATAAGTTTGAAATAAAAAGTTATAAGTAAGACCATTTTATATTATAAGAGCAAGAGCAAGGTCATAAGAGCAACGTAATTTTCACAATAATCTTAATATGTTACATGTGATGAAAAACACACAAGCATATGATGCTATCAGAAGAATTTATCATATAATGCTTCATAAAGTTTTGCTAGAAAACATATAATCTTGTAAAGATTAAATTAATATAAATCTAACATAAATGCATTTCTCTTTTTATTTTACAATTTGATCGTTGTTATGTCAATTACTTTGATTTAAAATAGAAGATGTGATTGACTCATCTTCCGGCATGATAATATTATCATGATATGTTAAGTGAAAATGAATATATTCTCATTCTCTGTTATTGACTCAAATTTGCATAAGTCTTATAAGATGTTAAGCATGGTGTGATTTTATTTTAAATGAAGAAATATGTAAGGCATTGAAAAATAAATATAATATTATTTTCTTATTAAATGTTCTAGTTTTGAATTGTTTAGAACTAAACTGTAATTATTCAATATGCAGATAAACCAAATCAACTCCAACTGTACTTTATTGTATATGTGTATCACGCTAGGAATCCGTAGGTTGTAAAGAATGTCTATCATATCAGCAATTTACAATGAGTTGGATGAATTGTGACCAGGCGTAGGCAAGGTAAGGTAACATTTTGCTGCTACCTGGTAAATTGGTAGTAGGTAGAGGTAAAAGTTAAAGGCTGGGCTATAGATAAGGTAATGACTAGAGTAAAAGTAAAGCTGAATGGATTACCCGGTAACCTTTGACCATTGCAAAAGTCCGCCATGGAGTTCATGGCGCGGGTGCGTAGTCCGTGGCAGACTAAAAAGTTCCAACTCAGTTCCAAATGGTAATTTTTTGTTGAGTTTTGGCTTTAAGTAGTCTCCCCTCTTCCGCATCTTTCTTTTGTTCCACCTTACTTCCTACTCGTTATACTCTGTGACCATTCTGTCGCTTCTTTCGGGGTTGTACTTATTATGCGATTACTGGAATGTTGTAAATAGTGAAGTTTTAACACATTGTCATTTGTCGAGTCTATCCGAGATATTTGATAGATCTTAGAAATTAAAGATGTGATTTCCTTAACAGATCACACTCGTTTTGAATACTAGTTCATCATGTTGTTTCTCATCTAATATCTGGTCAGTGATTTTGTGAGTGTACTTCAGGTGCTTCTGGCCATGCTCCCAGCTTATCATGAACATGTGAGATCTTATGAGAACACCCCAATTACAAAGTTCTTTGGACTTCATCGTGTTATGGCGATCAAAAGGTGTGTTGCAAAATCTTCTTTTAATTCTCCTACATTAATTTATATATACACTCAAAGAGATACATCAAATCTTCGCAATGTCTAGTTAAGACAGTTCTTATGTTCCCTGTTAAGTATCTTGATCTTCTTTCAACACAGATATACGGGTAAATTGTCATTAGATGATAGTAAACGTAAAAGTAGATAATAGTGTTGCAAATAAGGTAACGGGTAAGATAAAGGTAAATGCTCATGCATTACCCGGTAACCTTTTACCTTACCTTGCTGGGGCCTAATTGTGGCTATGAAACCCTATCTACTAGCAATATTTCAAAAGGTTTTCATGAGAAAAATGATAATATATATAAAACTTTCAACATTTGAACTTAAATGTATTTCTTTTGAGTGAATTTTTTTCCTCTTTGTAATGATATCATAGCTATAAAATCAGCAAGGTAGTTGATTTTATTCAAATGTAAATTATTATTCATAAAATAGCAAGAAATTGATGATGGTGTTAAGATTTTCAAATTTGTAAAGAGTTGCGGAGAGATTATTGATTTTGTCAGCGTAAGAGGAAAGGTGAAAAAATATTCTGTGTTATAGAATTGAAGATCTTTCACATAAATCTCATAAAAATGATGAATTATAATTTGTGTAAAAAAAAATCTTAAATTCTTGAAGAATAAGCATTTTTAAAATCTCAAATTCCATGTTATTAACATATATAATAGAAGCACTATAGTCAGCTATAATACTTCTATATTTTCAAAAATGTATGATACGGATTTATCATATTCAATATTAGACAAATTTCACAAGATATTTTTTATTGAAATTCAACACGATTTGAATAAAATGATTTGATCAAAAACTATCATGAGAAAAAAAATTCATGAAAAATAAAAATGTTGCAATTTTTTTTTGGGTAATTTTTAAACATTTACCGCTTTTTTATCAAAAATCATATAGAACAAACTTTTGAAAAAAAGAAGAGAAATGAATATATAAAATGATATGATGGAACCAACTAAGTAAACAGATATAAACCAGTGTATGTCCATTCTTCAAGGAGGAATATTGCAGACATAACGGCTAGGGTTTTTTCTACTTGTCGATTAGGATTTTTTTTTGCCGGCAAGCAATTAGGATTTTCCTTGTAGCATTGGTTGGTTCTCCACCAAAGGCCTAAGTGACTGTTAATACTTTGGCTGTGATGGTTAAGTCATTGCAAAAGATTTGTTCATCTGGCGAGTTGGATCTTCTTGCCATTGCACACAATTGTCTACAAAACAACATGCAATAGGTGTTTTTAGCAAATAGTGGACCAAGAATAGGGCAAAATGATATCCATTAGTATTGCTACTGCCATACTACAACGTGTACCTTCAACATTTTTCAAAGCTTGTCTTCCACACATTAGTTCCCAACTTGCTCCTTATTTCGTATGGCGATAACATTTACAAAGCTTATTTTGCATGACAATAGTATTTACAAACCTGTGAGAGTATTTCTAATCTAAACACCACACATGCTTCATGCCAAAAACAAATTTGTAATCTTAACTCACTTAAAATGCTTTCCATCACTTCGATAGCGTAGACAAAAATTAACGATTTGTGCTTGCAACATTACTACGATATCATTACTACATCAAATTTTATGAGACTCTCATATGTTTGGATAAAACAACCATATTTTCAGTCCAAAAGTCTTATAGACAACATGATTGTGCAATTGGAAAGAAGTTTGCTTATATCCAAATTAGGCTTAGCAACGCTTCATAAATGTTGTGTCAAACTTCTAGATACGGTTGAATCTGGAGGCGCATATGCATCAAGTTGTCATACTCCAAAATATTGAAGCATTTACAAAACTATGAGAATGTTTCTAACATGAACACCACACATGCTTCATCCCAAAACCGCATTTGCTATCTCAACTCACCTGAAATGATTCCTATCACTTCAATTGTGTAGACGAAAATTACCAACTCGTGCTTGCGAAGTTACCACAATATCATTTGGACATAAAATTTCCAGGAGACTCTCAATTGTTTGGATCAAACACTAATGTTTCTAAACCCAACAGCCTTACAGACATAATGATTGTGCAATTGGAAAAAAGTTTGCTTATATCAATGTGACTCATAAAGACGCTTCATGAATGTTGTGTCAAATTTCTAAAGAGTGTTGAATCCAGAGACATCCATGCATCAAGTTGTATTGCTCCAAAACATTATAGCATCCGGTCAATCAGAGCTACATCCTCAACTTTTGCAAATGGAATGGCATAGAGGATCTTTCAACCCATCTACAAGCAACTTCCAACTCTGCCAAACTTGTTGATGACTACATACTCAAATGGAAACTTGATGATGGATAGGTAGTGGAACCAAAACTAGTACTTTGGAATGTGGTCC